AATTACAAAACACTTGTCATGAAGTCATAGTTCTATATGTACCTACAATGGTTCTTGGGAAATCTCTCTAGAGATCAAAATCATATGTAGCCAATTGTATTACAAATATCAATTTTTTTCTGATCTCTTTTAATCAAAGGTACTTTCTTTTCAATTTGAACCCCTATAATACATGACTATTTTACCTGTAGCATAGACCAATTCAAGGATATTTTATTTAAGAATTTTTTGATTAAATTCTGTACACACTTCTTACTACCACTATGACCTTCAAGTGAATTGCTGAACTTTTAAGAGACAGGTTTCCTTCATTTATAAAATTTGCTTGCAGGTTAGAATGAGATATCATGTATGAAAAGTAACCAGTTCAAAACCAGAAAGGTAGTAGACATGTGATAATCCACAGGCTATTGTTTATATGTGCCAGATTATAGTTTGCCTAGCAACACAGGATTTTTTTTTTTTTGAGAAGTTTTTGCTATGGGGCGCGTGGGCTTGCCCAACAGACTGAGAGAGACAGAGAGACAGAAAGCGAGAGAAATCACCCCCCAGGGGGGATGGCCACACTGCAATCCCTTCTCCTTCATTCTCCTCTTGGGATCTTGGGCACATACGCACACACACCAGGTGTGAGTTTTAAGTCACCGGGTCCAGGACTCGAACCACAGTCAACTACATGGGAGTCCAGCAACATAGCCATTATGCTAACTGCTGGTCCCACAATATAGGATTTCAAGACTCCTTAAATACACTTTTAATTCATTTTTTAAGTTATCTGTAGTATAGATATATTTAGTTGGTAGGCATTCATTAGTAAATATTTAATTTAAATAATAAAATATTTAACAGTGTGACCTTGTTATATTTAAGTGGCTCATGGATCAGTAACATTTTCCAAGGTCGTGAGCAAGGCAGTCAGCATATACATGAACCCCATATAAATATCATTACAAATACACTGAAGTAATCTTAGTCTGCATATATTAAGATGATACTTAACGTACCTGGGTTGCTTCTAGAGGAGGAAAGAGTAAAACTATGTTGGAATGGGCCAGCTGACGGCATGGTGAAACAGGCTAGATCTCACATAGTATACTGCACAGTTCAAGTCCTGGACCCAGTGGCTTGTAAAGACATGCTGGGCATTTGTGTGTGCATACCCAAGATCCCAAAAGGAAAACAGAGAGGGAATTGCAGTGTTGCAATCCCCCCTGGTGGGATACTTTCCCACTTTCCTTCTCTCTCTCTCTCTCTCTCTCTCTGCCTTTCTCTGGCAAGGGCATGTGCCTGATAGCAAAACGACGACGACAACAACACACACACACACACACAAATACAAAAGCAGAAAAACACGTTTGGGTAATAAAAACCATCTATACAGGTGTTTTCCAATCAGCTGCCACATCAGCTGCCATGGGCTCTGTCCTTGGAGTTTTGTAGAAGAGCTCAATTTGAGTGTTCAAGGAGAACAATCCACAGAAAGACATCAGGTTTATTCTCTATTATCTCATTACATTAACTTGTGGGCTGACCTCATGCAAGAGCTAGCAAGCTTATCATGTAATAACATACTACTTGTCCCTTAGTTTTAAAATGTAATTGTGAGCCCCACTCTGTAGCCTAATGGTTCATGGAGTCAGATCTCGTAGGGCTGACTCTGGTTCAAATCCCAGCCAGGTGCTTGAAAAAACACATGGAGTGTGCTTGTGGGTGTGCCCATGTCCCACCGGGGGTGGGGGATGAGAGGGGGCTTCCTCCTGTCCTCTCTGTTTCTCTGGTGAGCAATTAAAAAAAAAAAAGAAAAAAGGAAAGAGAAGAAGGAAGTAAGGAAGGAAGGTAAAGAAAGGAAGGAAGAAAAGAAGGAAAGGTAATGGTAAGGTAACTGCTAAAGGGGATCTCCACCTTGATCCATAGACTTTTCCCACAGAGCCAATAAAATCAGTGAAAGGGAGGGCAGCAGGTGGCATGGTGGTTAAGGTCCTTGACTCCTATATGGCCAGCTGCAGTTAGAGTCCCAGACCCTATGGCTTGAAACGTGTTGGGCACATGTACATGTTTGCCCAAAATCCAGAGAGGAGAATGGAAGAGAAGGGATTGTGGCATGGCCTTCCCCTCCCCCCCCCCGGAAATGATTGCTCACTTCCCCTCTCTCTGTCTCTGTCCTTCTAGTGAGCACACATACCCTATCGCAAAAGTCTTTAAAAAACAAAAAAATCCGTGAAAGGTATGTGTTTAAAAATGCAAGGAAAAATGTTTTAAAAGAAATCATTGCTGATAGGGAAAACATTCATGAAAAATCATTTATGAAATTCAATACTGTGAGGCTATATTCTATAGACCTAACACAAATGATTAGCTCCAAGCTAACTTACTTTCTAGTAACAGTTTCTTACTCATTTGTTGCACAATTCTTATTTTCTAGGAAGGTAGCTAAATGTCACCTTTGCTTTGTGGAGTGGGCCATTCAAATTTGATGCTAATGACCAACTCATTAAGTCTTTAAGATTTTATAAGCTGCATAACTCTCTTTGGTAAATAAGGATTCAATTCAAGGTACAATTACAAGCAACTCAGATAATATGCATTTGTCAACACTCGAAAATACATTTTAAAATTCATTCAACTCAGGTGTTATATATAAGGAGAGAAGAATACAAGAAATGATATTCTAGTTAAAATTATTTAATTCAGAAACATACATCTAGAACCCAGAATTATTTGTCTTAGGATTGCAAACATGTACACAGCATAATAGACACAGCATGATAGATATTTTAAAGCATTAAACTGTCATTAAAAATGTAAAAGAATAGCAGAACTACCAGGAAAACCTTTGGTGGTGTATGAGAAGTGTTTCCAAAACACCTCCTCTGTATGCATAATCTGATTAATCCCCTAGAAAATGTAATGAAGACTATTTTGATGAACCCGAGTCAATATTCACACATTGGAAGGAAAAACAAGAAAAGTTTTGGAACCTAAGAGCTCTTTTCATATTCAAATTCTTCCATAAAATTTAAAATTTGAACTCTAAACAGGTTGATGGATATATATTTATTTTAACCCCTTCTATATAAGTATATGTTTTCATTTTAAAACCTGGAATGAGTTTCAATTTATAAATGGGTCGTTAAAAACTTCGTTCTTGAAAATGACCTTAAAAAAAACAATTCCTTCTAACACCTCGAAAGGTTCATTATTATATGCCTTCACAGCAGAGGGAAATCTGCACCAAAGCCTTGGAATCTACAATGGACAGTGCCATTGTTCTCCTTATCAGCTGCTTTAGTTGTCCAGCCAGGCCCATCTACCAACTCCTGGGCTTTACTCTTAACCTTGTGCTGAAAGCCTATATATACTCAGTCTGCGGGTTTGGGGGAAGCCCTTACTAGCCAATCAGGGTTTACCGATCTATTGCGTCACATCTCCCCCCCCCGTGTGACGTCAGAGGCGATCCCAGCCCAGCCGCGTGGGTTGGAAGAACTTAGCGTTGCTCCAGGGATCTGCTTTGCAGTGGCACGCCCAAAGGGCGGGGAACTGGGCAGGGAGGGGCCAACAGCACTTCCACAAGTTCCCAGTGGATCTCGGCTGTTGCAGCTCGCTGGCCCGGAGGCCTGCGGTGTCCCTGAGTCTACTCAGCGCAGACGTTTGCGGATTGCAGGGAGAGGCGCCGGGGGAAACTGGTACCTAAGGCTATGTAATAGGACCCGAGTCTTGTAAGCCTTCCTCCCCCGGCACCGCCTCTCTGCTCCCAGCCGCTTTCTAGCCTTAATTATCCTTTCAGCGCCGTTTCCCCTCGGCTGCATTTCGCTAGCCAGAGGAAAATGCCTCGCCTCCTCGTTCTCACCCTTACACAGACCCTTCTTTCAGATCCGCCCTTCGGTTCACAGGGACCCTTTTCCGAGTGCCGGCTCTCGCTGGGCGGGAACTAGTGTGACGAATTCAGCCCAACGCGTTGATTATCCCAGCCCAGCCTCTGGCTTCCGTCCCATCTCCAATCGGGCTCCTGCGGACTCCTCCCCACCCCGGTTGGGCGCTCCGGACCGGTCCCCTAGTCCCCCAGTGGATTGTGCCCCCAATTGCAGCTGTGGAAAGCGCTGGCGTGCTCGGTGCCACGTCGGAATTGGCTCCCGGGACTTTGCAGCCGCCTGAGCTCAGCACGCGGTCCCCACGCACGCCCTGCCCCCGGGCGGCTGGTTGGCTGGCCTGTGAAAAGAAGGGATGCGCGCCCAGCTCCCGCTCCCGTCTGCAAGTGCTACCGCCTGAGTCAGGAACCCCTTTACCAAGTAAGGCTTCCGGGGCCGGGCTGAGGCCGGACAGACCCAGCCTGACACTTCGATGGGGTGCAGGAAGTGCAAAGGAGGGGGGCGGCTAGGGAGAGGGGGGAGTGGCCGAGCGACGCCGGTAGCTGCGAAGAGGTGGGAAGGACCCTCCTTCTCTGGGGTCCCAGCTTAAGCTCTTAGGAGCTGGATGCCCGGACCGCTTAACCCTTTATCTGCCAAGCAAGAAGAGAAATTCTCACCAAAAGAGAACCGCGCTGGCTGCTCCAGGGTTTTTCTCCCCACACGCGGCGTGTGCAGGAATACAGAAAGAAAGGGAAAGCGAGAGTGAGAAAGTAAGGTACAAGGGGGCTTCTGTGCAGAATGCACTTTTCTTACACAGTGGAAATCCTTGTTTCCTAACGCTCTCCCGCTCTGGAAGATGCAGAATGGAAAAGTACATCTCGGGACGTGCAGAGAGGTTACCTGTATGCCCAGAAAAGCAGCGGATTTCTGGCGAGAGCCTCTGGGATGGGAAGAATCAGGGATATGTTTCTAAACCTGACAGTGATCTGAAATACCGCCTAATTTTCCGTCTGGTGGAAATTTTGGGACTTCAAACTTTTCTATCGAAACTGACTTAAACAAAAATATGTTAACACGTAAGTGGATAATTTCTTCCCTCTCCCTGGGCTATCTGAGTACCTTCGTCGTTCACCAAAACGCGCCAGCGTAACGTACCTTGTTCAACTCTTGGTCATAAATTCGTCCTCAGCCTGTCTGTGTGGTCCCGGAGGGTCGGTGGTGTGCCGTTTCCAAAATTGAGGTAATAAGAGATCAGATGAATTTGAGACGACCGGCCAAAAAAAATAAGAAATTTAAAAACAACATTTAAAAAGGATGGGGGAGTCTTTAAAATGATTGGTTCTCCCCACTTTAAGTGGAAATTTTACTAATAGTCTCTTTATTATTTTCTTTGCATTTCAATCTTCTAATTCTTACCAAAAAGAAAAAAAAATCTGTGCTTTAAAATAAATTATATTTTTGCTCCAGTCCCCCTACCCCTGTTAACGGAAAGTCTCCTTTTCGAATAATTAAAAAAATAAAAATAAAATAAAAAAGTCCGGTGAAGACTTAGCAGAACCCAGGAAGCGCAGAATCAGGGGGAAAAAAGTCTTTGGCTGGGGCTGGTTCAAGTCCCTGGTTCAATGGGCTGCTCGAAGCCAGGACTGTGTAATTCTTTCCAGAAGGTCTTGACTTCTTTTTCCTCGCTGTAGTTGCCTTTCTGCCTCCTCCAACTTAAGGGGGTCTTAACATGTGAGCCGGTGGGTGTTTTAATAGGACTAAGGGGGGGAGTGGAAAAGGGAGGTGGGGATTGGGGAACCCTGAGGGGAGGGGACTAGGAGGGCGGGAGGCAGGGAGGGGGAGAGGGGGAGAAAGAGATTGGCCATTCAAAGCCCTCTCTGAGCTCGAGGCCGGTTCTAAACTCCAATGAATTCAATTAACTTGATTGCTAACGTGTGCAGAGAAAGGCGCTACGCACAGGCTGGCCCCCACCTGATTCCCTCCTCTCTTCCAGCGGCGGAGCTGGCAGACCGCGCTTTGTGGATATCCCTAACTCCCGAGTTACAAGGATTCCCTCTTCGCAATAAACTCCCTGTAGTGCTTAAGTAATTTGTTTTAAAGTCAAATGGTGCCCTCCAGCTAAGTAACCACCCTAAGGAGAGACAGTTGGGAAGGAGGTGTGTGTGTGTGTGTGTGTGTGTGTGTGTGTGTGTACGTACCTGGAGACTCTGGAAGCTTGCCTGGATTCTAAAAAGACCATGGCTGGTATACCACTATGTTAACCCTTTCTTCTCGCCAACTCAAAAGTTTCTGAGCTGACATCAAGTGTCAAAACCCCTCTTAAACAGTTTCCGCCTTGGGTGGGCAGAAGGCAAATAATTGTTTTTCTGTTTTTTGGATCAACCTATACTCTTAAATACAAAACCGTGAAACAATGAGCATTAAAAATAAAGTATAATATTATTAAAATGGCTGGAGAACTCGAAATATTGCGCTTAAAAATAATATAACCATCTCTAAGGAAATGGCTTAAATGGCTTTTGCTTCTTGCGAGCCTTCCACGAAGTTAACGAGTCAAATACTTATTCTCGTCTCCAGATGCCTTTTCTCATCTTTCCTCCAATGTCTCAAGGCTGAGGAGAGTTCGATTTCTTGGTTACTGTTCCCCCCCCCCTTACTTTTTGGATTTTGCTCTAAGGCTTTTCGGTGACTTAGAACAGACAGTAGGTGGCACTGTTTAGGAAAAAATGAGAGTGAATTTACAAGTTAGGTTATGGGAAACTGTTACAGGATAAAATAGATGTCTTTCTTTTTTCTTTTCCTTCTGAAGATTTTTTGAGTTGTAAACTTCTTTCCAATTTGACCAGACCTTGAAAACTGGGTTCTTGGTCCTTGTCACATATTTGGGCAGTAATGAATGAGCCCAAACAGAAAAGTGAAATAAACTGGGAGTGATGCTTTCAACAAGTGGGGCAGGATGTGTTACTGGGGGGTGTGACTAGAGGTCAAGAATTTTACTGCCCTACGAGGTAGTCAACCAACCCAGTCTCCAGGGGTCATCGCAAAGTACCATACATTATTTCCGCTCCCTCCTCCTCCCCACCCCCAACACAGGGCTTACTCTGCCGCTGGGAAGCATTACCTTGGCCTGATGACTTCACACTGCTGGGGAAGACCCACTTACTCATATCCCTCAGCAAACCTTCCGTGGCTACAGCCTTTGTTTGAACTCTGCTTTAGGTGCTTCAGCTCTTGAAAGACTGGCTTAAATTTCAGAGCACAATTTCATCCCACTTACTCAGACTCCAACTTCCCGATTTTTAGTTTTTCGGTGGTTTTCAAATACTAAATTGCAATGGAAAATATGTTATCAAACTCCTGTTCTCTAACATAGAACATGAATTAAACTGATTGAGGGGCGGGGTGGAAATTGTTGGGTGGGAACTGACAAGATGTGACATCGCAAAGGCTCACTTCACCTTCCAGCTCTAACCGTTTATAGGTATTACACATCATGCAGGAGCCCCAATTACTGTTTAGTAAGATTTAACTGAACCTATGTTAACATTCAAGCAATGATGAGAGCATTACTAGAACTGAGTCGTCATCTTTTTTTTTTTTTTTTTTTTAGGTTTTTTTTGTCTTTATGTGAGTTGCGGAACCA